GTTTTGAGGGTTTGTGAGGGGCTGCCCTGTGTTGCTCTCGTTTCCCTTTGATGCCAAGGGAGCAGTTGTTGAAATAACGTGTGTCTCTACCTGCAGGAAAGGGGGAAAGAAACGAGACTGGGACGAAGAGGACCCCCTCTCCTGTGACCCCCAAAACCAGCGGAGTGGGGCAGCCAGCAAGGCCAGTGCCCCACACCCACTGACGTGCCCATCACACGTCCCGTGGTTCACCATCAACCTGGTGCGTTTGCGCAGGACCAGCGGCGTGCGTTTGGGAAATCCCCGCGCAGTGCCACCGCCAGTCGAGGGTGGCCCAGAGGCAAAGCCGGTTTCCTCCAGAAAGTATGTTTGTTCTGGTTGCTCAATGAACATAATGAGGTAATGACAGAGGGTGGGAAACAGGATAATGACAGAGGGTGGGAAACAGGACTTGGGTTTCACGGGCCTGTGGCTTGCTCTGCAGGCTGGGTTTTGTGGCCCTCTTAAAACGCGTTTCCTGGTCGAGGTTTGATGCAGCACAGGCTATCAGTGTTGGTGATAAACATTTTGGGGAAATACCTGCTCCTCTGCAAGAGGGAGGGAAGGGTGCCAGCCGCAACTTGCTTCTCTGCTTTACAGGTTTTGAATAAACAGCCCACCTGACAGCCTCTTGTAAAGAAAATCTTGGTTTTATTTCTAGAGTGTACTGACCCTTTTCCAGGAGGTCTCCATCACTGTCAACAGATTCAAGGGCATCACTAGACATGCTATTTCTGATTCCTAGAAAAAACCTTTCTCTGTGCCAGACCAAACAAACAGTGGTATGTGTGATGACTGATTGTTGACATTGGATGGCATATGTGCTTTGAAAGGTCACACCATCCGTCAGCCCGATCAGCTGATGCAAAGCATGTAACCAACCTGTTTGTTTCATTCCAGCAAGCTAGGATTGACAAACCATGAAGGAAGAAGGAGGGGATCCTGAAGCAGTGACAGACTGTTTGCTCCTGGACTCTGTCAAAGGGGACCGCTTCCGCATCAGCGCTGTTCCCAGGTATGGCACAAAGGTCATAGCGTGTCTCTTCCATGTGCCTGAAGGTCCAGGGTGGAGCTGATGTCTTGTTTAGTCTCTTCATCAGTTTTGGGAATAGAACTGCTGTAGCCTTGACTTATGCTGCTTTACATGGTCAAACTGCACTCTGAAATTGTTGGAGGACTACAGGGAGCTGATACAAGGAAAAAATTTATTTTTTCTTAAAAAAAAAAGGTGATTTGTTTTATCTGAACCTGATCATCAAATGGCTGCACATGTTATTAGCCCTGTCATGCCAATACGAGGAAGGAGGCCCGGCACAGGCAGCTGGCAGAGATGGCCAGGATCACAGCAGCCCATATCAATGACAGCCTTAAACTGCTCTGGTACCACACCAGCAGTTCCTCTTGCTATAATCTCCCACTTGCCCTTGGAGGAATAAGATTGATTGGATTTTTGGTGTGGATTTTTTTCCAGACCAAGGACTGAAATAGGCAGTTTTGTTCTCTAAAATATTCATGTACTTAAAAAGTAGCACAAATAATGAAAACAGTGTTTGAGGAAAGTTTCTCCTCTGTGTTCCTTACACACAGATCATCTGTGTTTTGGGACATGAAGAGCAATGGAGGAGAAGCTTCCCTCTGATGTGACTGTTGGGGGACAGAGGGTTGTGTGTGTTGCTTTGTTTTTAACCTTCCACTCTGTTTTTCCTGGAAGCTTTCTGTGAATGCACTGACCTTGCTTGTCCCTCCAAGGCAAGGCAGCTGATCTACTCCAGTATCACAGCCAACATCTCCACTCTGTTCATTAGCAAGTTAGTCAGCACTCTGCAAAGGTCAGAGGTGCATCTTAGCTACAAGTTTACTCAACGCAGAAGCACCTAAGGAACAGTGTTTTAAAAAAGAAAATCTTCATGGGGGTATTTACTTCATTTTTCAGTACTGATCCCTTCTAGCGATTTCTTTGGCCCCTGTGGCTGTAACATTCCTCGCTGACAACACCCCTGAGATAAGAGTGTGTTGCCTTCTTCATTTTATAGAAGAGGAAATAAATGTGAGACTGCAGGGTCCCAAGCCATTGCCTGACCACTGGATCTGGTTCCTCTGTCCTATCACTCTTTACCAAAATAGCAGAAGGATACAGCTGGTGAAAGAGGTAGTGCAGATAGCCACAATCTGCTTTTTATTATTGCATATAGGTAGACAAAACAGGTGAAGGAAGAACCTTGCACAAAATCTCTTACAAAGTCTTTGTAAGAGCTGGGAACTAAATTCACACTTCATGAGAAACACTTGTTCTGTCCATGTTTTTTCCATCTGTTATTTGAGTGAGGGGGAAAAAACACAATGTCAGCTCACATTTACCCCACTCAGTCTCATCATCAGTGCTCAGTGGGTGTTTGAAGTAAAGCTCCTGCCTGAAAGTCCTTCTGGCATTAAGCTTTGCAGTAAGGACTGGGTCAATTCCTGCTCCGTTTGGTGTTGCTAGAGATGTGAGCTGGAATACCACAGTGCGCTCAGAGCCTTTACTGTTAGTGGAGAGTCTCAGCTGCCTCACAAGGGATTGTGCAGGGTGACCAAAGGCTAGTGGCTGAGGTATCAGGTGGAAACTGAGGGCATTTGGGGCTCTTCTGTGTCTTTCCCTGCAGGTGTCTTTCCTCGAGGTCTATACAAAGCCCTTTTTACTGAATCAGTGTTAATCGTGCTTCGGCCCAAGGATCCTACTTGCTTCTCTCTGTCATTCTGTGAGGTTCGCCGAGCTTCCCCACTGAGTTTTTGCCTTTCGCTCCTCTCCTGCCTCAGACACTTGAGTGGCTGTGCTTGGAGCTGCTGGACTGGAACACTTTAGTTTCATCCTCTCCAAAAGAGTTGCCCATCCGCTGTGGCCCTTGGTGTGGGGCTGGATGGCACCAGCCCTGCCCTGCTCTCCACCCAGCTGTGTGTTCCTGCCCTCTGTGGTGGTGGACGGGTTCAGGGAGCTCAAGAGAAGGGTGGTGGGATGTGGGGATGTTTCGGCTGCAGCTTTCCGAAGTGCTGTGCACAGGGTAAACAACACAGCTGCCCTAGTGTCTTCATACCAGGAAATCCTTGCCATCCCTGTGAGATTGAGACTACCAAATTTTAAGATGCTCTTTCTTTCTGCTGGTGAGTGTGATGAACTTCATGAACAGAGCCAGGAGGGATGGGTTTAACTTGTGACTTCCAGAAGCATCGGTGGAAAGGGACCCTGTAGAACATGTTTCCTTTTAAATTGCAAAATTGCATGCATAATATAACCTGAAGGGAATATACTCCGTAGCTTTCTAGTTTTGGGGCCTGAATCTGTGCTTCTGGGAAGCCAGATTTGTTGTGGACTCCTGGTTATCCTAGGGCTGAGGGCTGTTGTCTATGGGTTTTGCTGTTCTTCCTTCACATCTTTAAATTTGCTCTTATTTTCTTAAATGAAGTATGAATGTGCTAGAACAACTTCTCTCAGCAAATCACGCAGTGCAAAAATGCCAGCGTTGACTTCTGCTTAGATTTTCATGCTCTAAAAACCCAGCTCAGTCGCATTTGTATCTCTGCAGTGGGACCATGGAAGGAAAAGAGATGTCACCAAGTGATCACTCAGAGGAGAGCAGCATATTGGACCTACCCTCTGTTTGTGACCTAGCAGAGCACTTTCTGCTTCCACACAGCTCTGAAAACAGTGAGGAGCTTTTTTGTTCTGTGGATACTTTTCCCACTCCGCCAACAGGTAACAGCTTCTGCCTCTCCACATGCTCTTTCTTTAGCCAGCACGTTTATCTTATTTAAGCAGTGTGTGATTTGACTGAGTAACAGCAGTCTGACTCTGGTGCATCTGCCTTGACTTAATACACAGTTTACCAGAACTACAGTCTGTTCCAGCGTCACAGGTACAGTGTGAACTGTGGGTCTGGGAGACACAGGAGAGGAGTTCAGAGGATCCTATCAGCTGCTAATGTTTTGACAACACTGTTTCTTCATGTTTCGTGTGTTCCCAGAGGGAGAGGGTTACGAGGGTTACCTGAACTAACCCACAGAGCAATCCTCCAGGCTTTAGTAGGAAATACTGTCTCAAATTACCATAGTCAGTAAGAAGTGTTTTTAAACTTTTCCTTATATTCTTCACATGCTCATCGTGTATCTTCCACTCATGAGCTCAGGATGTGGCCTCTGTAGCCCATTACTTTAAAATTATAACAGTGAATGTTTGCTTGTGCTAATGACATGACAGAGGAAACTGCTTCAGTTCAACTCTTGGGAGATGACAGTTTCCTCTCTTGAAGGAGAACTGATTCCTGCAGAAGTAGCACTTTAGGTCAGCCACTACTCCAGATTCTCAGGAGTAATGGTGTATCTGAGAAGATCAAGGGAAGGGATAGCTGGCACATTCTGATTACTACACTCCTCAGCCCAGCCAGTGTGAATATATGGCAAGAAGTGTGAAATCAAAATGCACTGGCCCAGTGACACTTCTTGTCATATATTCATACTGGCAGGGCTGAAGGTTGTAGTAATTATATGTAATATTTTAGAGGGGAAATAAAATCTGATCAGAAAATAATGTATGGAGATAATTTGTCAAGGCACCTGAGCAGGTGAAACATCACTGTTGACATTTCTGGTTGCTTTGGAGTCTGAAGTAGTGTAAAAGTAGGGTTTGACTCCTCTTCTTCCTCTGGCACTGTGTGGTTTACTTTGGCCTCGTTCCAGAAAGTTGGCTGGGAATTTTTTCAGTGTGAATTCCACTGTTTTGCGTGCTGAACAGCTAAGCAGCAGGATCTACCAAACTAATCTAGCTTTGTTGATGTTGACGACTTGCCTTTGCAGTTGTCTTCATCTCTGATTGTGGGACATTCAGAACTGTAATGAAATCTGCAAATCGTAGATACCAAAACCTTGCTTTGGTTTTCCCATGCAGACCCAGAAGTCACGTCTTATATTACTAATGATGCAAATATTCTACTGTGACCTCGACTTTAAACCATGATCTGTATCGCATTCCATGATCCATATGGCATTAGAGGAATTGTGTATCTGGTTTGAGGTTTTGCTTTATTTTGTGTGCGTAAGAGCAGTACCACCACTACAAGGAATGTCTTGAGCAAGCCTTTTCCGCTGTTGTGGTAGGGGAGGATGGGGAAGTTCCTCTAACAGTGAGACAGGCTGGAAGGCGTTTGTCTTCTCAGATTTCACAGGCTCTGTGTTGCAGGTATGAAGAAATTCCAGGAGCTGTGAGGCAGTTCCTCCAATGTTTGTAGGGCGGCCCAGTTGCTCAGACACCGTTTAGTGTGGCTCAGGGCAACTGGATTTGATTGCTCTGATGAACGGGATGCACAGAAGCATTGTATGACCGCTCAGCAGTCCTAAGACTGGTCTGAGGCATAGCAGTGGTGACATATGCAGAAATGAAGATGGGCCGCTCTAAATGCAAATGACAGCATTGGGCAAGTCATTTACAGTGCATGTGTGGAATATGTAGCTGAAGCTCAGTACCAAGTTGTTGTCTCCAACACCACCTGGTGTCAGCATGAATTCCAGGTGTGCTGAGGAGGGCAGATCAGGCCGATGAACCCTCTCCTTCATTGTTTGTTTTAGAGACCCCTCACAACTGAAACCAAGCAATAACTTGGTTAGCAATAACTGTGGGATGCACACTGTAAAATGGCTCCTTACCCTGTGCTCTTGTGAGTGAAATAACCCAGTTCATGCTCTGAACGTCTCGGTTCCTTTCTCCTTGTAACAGTGTCAAACCAATATACATGCTCAAACTCTCTTTTTTGACGCAGCTTCAGCTTTCTAAGCCATGGAATTTGGTCAGTGTGGCAGAAGAGGCAGGAGGGCAGTTTTAAAAACATACTGTCTGTGTCAGATGTTCTTGGACAAGAAAGTTCTCTCAAACATATCTTGGGAAAGAAAGCTCCTTTGCTTGTTTTCTCATGAGATATTGTAAAATGCTGCTGTGACAACATAAATTAGGAGAGTGGGGGTGGCTGTAGCTTGCACCAGAAGATGACCAGAAGATTGCATCCTGGGGCTTGGGCAGGGTGGATGAAGGGTCTTCTCATCAAACTTGAAAGATTTTTATTAGGGGTGGGGATCTTCCTTAGTGATTCAAAAGCATTCCCAAAAGGCCATTAGGTCTCTGGGAATGTGACAGCTACCTTAGCAAAGAAGCAGACTGACAGCACAGGCTGTGTTTTCTGACATCTGTCACATGAACTGGACTGAGACTGACTGGAATACCATGCCATCCCAGCCTCAGGAGTTGGAAATGGATATGGAGGTATTCCTAGTGCCTGAGTCACTAATAATAGGTCTTACTAGTGTAGAGAGGCTCCATCACTTGTAATAGCAGAAGGTAGTACCCATTAGCTGTGAAAACAGGGCCATCTGAAAGCAAGCATCCCTAGGCAAGAAAACAGTAGTCCTGTGGGAATACTACTAAATGTCTAAGTTGTGTATAAATCAGTGGTTTTGATTTGTGTGGGAGTGAGGGTTCTGTTCTTGCCACAAACATGCATACTTTTAGCTTACTGTCATAGTGAGTTCAAGTGTTTAAGTGGTGATAGACTGAGAAAATGGAATTGGATCAGTGAACCTTTCAGTATGCTTCCTTTTTTTTTTCACCCTATACTGGAAAATAATAAAAAAAATTAACTGATTATAGTGTTGTAATCTGCATCACTCAGTTGCACCGTGCTGCAGCAACACCTCACTACTTCCTCTGGATTAAGAAAAGTTGCTAACAAAAGTTCCTACTTGGCAGCTCTCAGGTGCCAAGAAAATTAATATTGGAAATTAATATTTGACATTTATAATGAAAATTATAATATAAATGTTAATTTATATGGATGTACTATAATATAAGTTATAATTAATAATTATAAAAATATTATTTGAAAGGCATCTAATAAAGATTGTTTACAATAAAGTAAGTCACTGGTGATGTTCCTTTTTCTTGTAGGGCACTGAACCAGAGCATACCAGGGACAGTGGAAACAAGGTCTTTGCCAGGAAAAATTGCAGCCTAAAAAAGAGTTAGAGAATAGACTATGGATGTGTTGCAGGCAGGGTCCTGGGCTCTGCCCATGCTGCATGGTCTGACAGAGCTGGGTTTGCCAGCCCAGCCCTGGAGTGATGCTACCAAGCCTGAAGGCAACGCTTGAGAGCTCAGCCGTGGCACCATTCTTGGGAGACTGCTCGTCTGAAGCATGGGCAGAGCTCAGCCCCATCTGCCTTCGTGGCCATTCCCTGGAGCTAGCGGTCTTGGGGAAGTGGGTCTGCTTGTTTGTCCTCTAGTTTCTTCCTTCATCTCTTTTCCTTTGTAATGAAAAGTAGTTAAAAACCTGTGTCCTTAGGAGAATGCATGGATAGATGGGGTCATCCAGGGGAAGGGGGAGGTACACTGAAAATGTAGTATTGCAGGAACAGAGAAAATAGAGGAAGGATCACAGCAGGAAAGGAGGGATGATGCTGGAGAGATGTGGTGGAGCAGGAAGACAGAGTTCACTGTATGATTGGAGAGGCCTGTGTGTATCTAAAAGATGGCTAGCTTTTTTAAAAAAAAAATAATAAAAGCCAGTTTGAGGATGTTCAACCTTTAGTTGCCTCTCCAAAAGCACTATTTCTGTTCCTGCAATTTACTTCAGGTTTGAGCCCAGGCTTACCTTTGGTTGTTTTCCATGGACTGCCCTGACCTCTCTAATGCAGCGAGGATCCCAGGCTGCCCCTGACCGTGCTTATTCCTGCTCCATCCTTTGCACTGGTGCTCAGGCCACGTGAGGAGTCAGCTCAGGGAGCCTAGCTTGCTGGGCAGCCATGTAAATATTTGTGTGGAGGAGGTAGGGACAGCTGCTCTTTCTGGCAGCAGCACAGGTGTATGCCAAGATACAGCAGTCTGCAACGTGCCCTGTCTTTCATATGGGATTACAGTCTTTCCAGAATGGTGGCTTCTGGAAAAAGTAATGTTAGAGTATTAATTGCTTTTCCAGTGCAGGGACCCAGGCTGTAGGTTCCTTTTGATCAGTCGTGGGGTTTGTAGGTTTCCTTCAAAAATAGTCCATTTGGAAGAAGTCGTGAGAGCTTGGGGGAAATGGAGCAGAACCATTTCACTGGAGACTGACTAGTTCCAGGCAAATCAATCAGTCTGGGCCACGGCACTGCTACTGAAATTGCTGCTCACATCAAGAGGACACTTGATCACAAGATTATCCCACTTTAAAAATAAAAGCCATCATGATTTTTGGACCATTCTGGTTGCTTTCTGGGTTTTCAACCAACCAAGCATGTTTGTTAAACAAAGCAGAGATATCCAACCTGTTAATACAGCTCTCAGTTCTATAGGCAACTGCAATTTCTTTGAAAAAAATGCTACACATACCCAGTGAATTTACGTGCTTAGTTTTGCAGTGGGTTGTTATGTCTTTTATTAGCAACTGAGGAGTCACGCTAAGGTTGGTGCATGTGTTCTGGCTTGTCCTTAAATGCTCTCTCCTGTTTACCATGTCCACTTGCGTGTTAAGAGTTGCTTAATCACTTTTGTAGAAGTGGGTTGTGTTTACTGAAGAAGTCTGGCATGGTTTGTGTTTTTTCTGTATGGGAATTGTGCACAAGTGCTGACGTAGAAGCTGAAAATGAAAGGAGCAGGCTGTACTTGTCAGCAGCAAGCCTTCAGGGATGGTACTTGATGGGTGCTTGAAGGTTCAGTTCAGAACTCGGTGTATGCATTCA